TATGAATATAATATACAAGTTTCACTTTTTAAATGGAATTACTGAAATAAATCTACTTTTTAATGAAATTCTAATTTTATGACCAGCACCTGTAAACCTCTGTCAGAGAGGCAGGCTTTTGAAAATGATCCCAACAGGCCTTAGTTTTAAAACTGAGGCTTTGTGGATCTTTGACTCTTGGGCAGCAGTTAAAAAGAGTAGTTTTTAAATGATGAGTAAAGATTTTGGATTTTACTCTATGCTGTCGTGTTCCATAAAACTACATGATATTGATATAAAAGTACTTCCTTCACTGTTAACTTTCTGCTGAATATTTTAGATGCGATGAAAGCTCCATGTATTGTCTGGAGCACAGCTGTTTAGAGATGTCCAAACTTTGGTCTGAATAGTTTTGTAGGAATCTGCTAAATAGATGCTTTACTTTTTCTTTACTTGCGCTTGGTTATCTGATACAGTGACGAGCTGCTGCAGAGAAATTTTGGTCAGTTTTATTGTTATTTTCTCACTTTTTGCTCTATTTTCTCTCTTCAGGGACTTCTCAGAGTGATGCAAAGAGACAGCACCTCCTAGAACGGCTGCTGGATGCTGTTAAACAGGTGAGCGGCATGTTTTTAACTTGTTCTTTATATCGCCACCCTAAACGGGAAAGCGAGTAAAGAAAATGGATGGATTAGTCAGAAGTCCTTAGAGTGACYTGTTTATCTGGAAAATTATTCTTAAACACTAGCTGGAGTTTCTGGTGTGACAGTATGTTTTAGTTCCCTTTTTTATAGTCTACAAACGGCACAGGAAGTACAACTAACAGCTTTAATCAATCCACTTTCTGTGGGTAAATACATGTGGAAAATAAAGAGTACAACCAGGGAGGTTTATTACAACAGACACATATGGTTTGAGAAAGCAACAGTTTTGTTCAGTACCAGAAATAATTTGAGACGTTTATCCTCCCTAAAGCACAAAACAGGAAACAAACAAACAAACAAAAAAACATTTCTCACAAAAACATTTTAGAACGAAATGCATAAAGTCCTTGGAGGAATTCATTGCTCCTGTCATCTTTCATGCCTGAGTTTTAAAGTTAAAAATCTTATGAAACGATAAAGTTGTAGTGATTTTGGTCAGACCTTGAAAATAACATTATGCAAATATCAAAAATTGTGAAAGTTCATGCTCAGAGTGTGTTGTATGAATGACCATCAGCTAAAATCCCATCATTTAAAATTTACTGAGGAATAGTGTTTTTTATGCGTTGGCTAATGCTGATTAGTTGTGGTGATCATTAATGACCATCTCCACTCATGATGTCACATGGCATTATTTCTTATCTGCTGCTCTCTCAAATGATCGTATAATCAGCAATGGATTATACCGAGATTTAGGGTTGATWTAACAGAAAAAASATMTTTCTAGAGTGAATTTTGACACTTCTGACTTCAGGACTCAGGAATGTTCAGATGAAAGGCTTACTCAAGGGTCAAGGTCTTGGACAGACTTGAAAAGTGATTATTATTAAAAAGGTTGTTTTTACCTGCGCGTTATATATACTATTGTGTGTGCTGACAGGTATTCCCTACTATGTGGGGCCAATTTTTGGCATGCGCACCTACTTTTTGGGACTGGTACTTATGGTGACCTAAGCCTAGTCCCAATGGAAGGAAATGCTTTTGGCGGGACTAAGGTGTGAATTTAATTTAGGTTAGGTGTGTGTGTGTGTGTGTGTGTGTGTGTGTGTGTGTGTGTGTGTGTGTGTGATTTATCACTCGAGCCATTGCTTCTGCATCATTTAAATGAACCTAATGGTGATGTTTAAAATTTGTATAAGTACAACCCCTGGCAAAAATATGGAATCACCAGTCTTGATGAGCACTCATTCAGACATTTCATTCTGTAAAACAAACTCAGATCAAAAACATGACACAATAATAAAGGTCATTCCAAAGTGCAACTTATTGGCTTTCAGGAACACTCAAAAAAATGAAAAGAAAACATTGTGGAAGTCAGTGAATGTTACATTTATTGACCAAGCACAGGGGAAAAATATGGAATCACTCAATTCTGAGGAAAAAAGTATGGAATCTTGAAAAACAGATAAACAAAAGACGATTCAAAATACATCACTAGTATTTAGTAGGGTTGAGCCGGACACTCGTTTCAGACGAGTATTCGTTACGGCTAATGCATTTTTGATGAGTACGAGCATGAAACGAATACAACTTGTCAATATCCGTGCTCATTCTGAAGGAAGATCCTCATTGGGTAACTGACTGTTTTCACGAGCTGTGATTGGCCAGTCACATACAGAGAGCCCGCCCCTCCCCTCACAAACTCTGCAGCCAGAGCGAGCCTGATCAGCTGAGTGAAGCTGACACACACAGAGACACGCGCGCAGACAGCTCGCCTCTGTTTCAGTTTGTACGATGCTTAAAGTCACTTGGTGAACTTGTTTTGTAACAAGTGCGGTTCATTTGACAAGACAGAGCTGAAAACGGCTCATGTCGAATTCCTCATTCCTCAAGTCCGGTGTTTTTTTTTTTAATTTATTTATTTATTTTTAACTGTCTGCTTTCCATCAGTTCAGCTGGTGGTGATATAAAATCAGTTGGAACGCGATGCTTTTGAGAAGAATACAGTAAACAAGGCTGACATTTATCCATTTACCATGTTTGCATGAATCACCAATTTCACACAGATRATTAATAAACAGTCTTACAGACCACTTCCACACATAGCTGAGCAGAACAACCTCTCCCTCTCACAGATGCACACACACCTTAACATTATCAACATTTTTTAACTTTGTGTGTGGGGGGAAAAAGCCAAGAACATTTAGGTAGTAAAAATAAATAAATAAATTGAAAGACAAAAAAAGAAAAATCAGTTTGTTCATAAAATAAAAAATAAAAAAGGAAGTTGTATTGAGTGATATTTCTTGTTCATGCATATTTCAGTAGTTCATAATTTCCTACTGCATGCGTTGCATTCATTCATGCACTTAAACTATTTACAGATCAAGCTTTTTTAAACTCAGAACATGAATTATTTTTTAACTTTTGTGATTAAAAACTTTGAATCTAAATTTTGAAGCTGTTCTGTAAATAACATTCAAACAAACAATGCATATAGGAACTTCTGATCAATCCATATCATTATCAGACTTAAAACAATGTACAGATTTAAGTCTAGCCAACTTCCGGTTAAGCCACACCCACATCCGGTTTAGGCCCCGCCCACTCGGAGTACAGATACATATAATTTAGATGGTTGAACAGATACAGATAGTGGTGCACTCGCTCATCCCTAGTATTTAGCTGCACCACCTTTGGCTTTCATAACAGCTTGCAGTCTCTGAGGCGTGGACTTACTGAGTGACAAACAGTATTCTTCATCAATTTTGCTCCAATTTTCTCTGATTGCTGTCGCCAGATCAGATTTGGAGGTTGGAGCCTCTTCATGGACAATTTTCTTCAATGTCCACCAAAGATTTTCAATTGGACTGAGATCCGGACTATTTGCAGACCATGACATTGACCTTGTGTGTCTTTTTGCAAGGAATGTTTTCACAGTTTTTGCTCTATGACAAGATGCATTATCATCTTGAAAGATGATTTCATCATCCCCAAACATCATTTCAATTGTTGGGATAAGAAAASTATCCTAAATATCAATGTAAACTTGTGCAGTTATTGAAGATGTAATGACAGCCATCTCCCCAGTGCCTGTACCTGACATGCAGCCCCATATCATCAAGGACTGTGGTAATTTGCATGTTCTCTTCAGGCAGTTATCTTTATAAATCTCATTGGAACGGCACCAAACAAAAGTTCCAGCATCATCATGTAGTGGTCACCCTGAGTGAAATAAACATGCAGAACTGTCTTTGACCTCAGGCCTCTGATGGGCCCCTTTAAAGAGACAGAACTCTATAGGGGTCCGTCAGAGGCCTGAGGTCAAAGACAGTTTTGCATGTTTATTTCACTCGGGGTGACCACTACATTCACCTTGCCCAGTGCAGATTCACGATTCATCACTGAGTATGACTGTCATCCAGTCATCCACAGTCCACCATTGCTTTTCCTTAGCCCATTGTAACCTTGTTTTTTCTGTTTAGGTGTTAATGATGGCTTTCATTTAGCTTTTCTGTATGTAAATCCTATTTCCTTTAGGTGTTTTCTTACAGTTCTATCACAGACGTTGACTCCAGTTTRCTCCCATTCGTTCCTCATTTGTTTTTCTGTTTTGGAAACATATTGCTTTAAGTTTTCTGTCTTGACACTTTGTCTTCCTTGGTCTACAAGTATGTTTGCCTTTAACAACCTTCCCATGTCYTTAGTATTTGGTCCAGATTTTAGACACAGCTGACTGTGAACAACCAACATCTTTTGAAACATTGTGTGATGATTTACCCTCTTAAGAGTTTATAATCCTCTCCTTTGTTTCAATTGACATCTCTCGTGTCGGAGCCATGATTCATGTCAGTCCACTTGGTGCAACAGCTTTCCAAGATGTGATCACTCCTTTTTAGATGCAGACTAATGAACAGATCTAATTTGATGCAGGTGTTAGTTTTGGGAAGGAAAATTTACAGGGTAATTCCATAATTTTTTCCTCAGAATTGAGTAATTCCATATTTTTTTCCCCTCTGCTTMGCCTAAAGAATTAACCGTTGCTACCACCTTTTTTTCTTGATTTCTTTTAGTGTTTCTTAAAGCCAGAAAGTTCCCAATTGAAATGACTTTAGTTTTGTGTCATGTCTGTGATCTGCTTTTTTTCTACAAAATTAAACAACTGAATTAACATCCTCTGAYGCRGSTGATTCCARAGGTTTTGCCAGGGGTTGTATAAATATGTGTGGTTGGCTCCAGTAGAARGCTGTATGAGGCTGGCATGGATGCTACAAGTAAAGGTAGCAGTAGGCTACAGTAAAACAATATTGGGTGTACTGTACCTGCTTAGGGACAGAAAGGATAGGATCCATCTAGTCCTGGTCTTTTACCACCGATAACATTTTTGGAGCAGACATTAAGTCCTTGGTTGCATTTTTTTCTGGTCAAACTTGGCTCATCCTGTCACTCGAATCCACATAGCCTGCATCTTAGCTTGAGAAAAGTGACAAAACAATGGTCCTTCCATGTGGAGAAGATGGCAGTATCCTGTCACTGTTACAAGTACTATACTTGTAATGATGGCAGTATCCTGTCACTGTTACAAGTACTGTACTTGTAATGATGGCAGTATCCTGTCAATGTTACAAGTACTGTACTTGTAACATTGACAGGTACTGTAGTTTTGTGGTCCTCCTATTAGAATTTGGTGATGTTTTCCCAGTTTTTAAGCTTAAACACAGCTAAAGRGCGATTGTGATTGAAACCAATGGAGCCAGTACCAGAGTTTTTACTCACATAGGTGTTGAGTGGATGTAGTCATGAGACTAGTGCTCAAAAAGTAGCCTGAATGAAGGTCACCATTGCATTGACTCCAAAAGTAAATCAGTACCTTCAGCAATGACTGGTTTTAGTCTATTTGACCAGATGCAGGACTCTAATATTTTAGCCACTTTTACTGTTTCGTTGTTTAAACATATTCCCCCAATCAAAAAGAAAAAAATAAGTAGGTCCTCTGGATGGGTTCTTCTTTAGTGAAACGTTTCGTCTCTCCTCCAAGAGACTTCTTCAGTCTGATGGTTTCTTCTTCCAAGAAGTCTCATGGAGGAGAGACGAAACYTTTCARTAAAGAAGAACCCATCCAGAGGACCTACTTATTTTTTCTTTTCGATTTTTTTCTACCTAGATTACTGAGCTGCATCAAGACGTTCCCCCAAGTGTACCAAAAAATGCATTCTCTGCAAATTGAGTCCTGTAATTAAAAAAATGCAAAACCAAGTGCAGGATTTAACTTTTATGTTGTATGTATTTGAAAGAAATAAGATTCCTCTCATGTCTTTTCAGTGCCAAATCCGCTTTGGAGGACGAAAGGAGATCGCTACAGACTCGGACAGCAGGTAAGACCAGTTCACCTGGAGTACTTACTCTCAGTRTGAGTGCTTATTTGGCTCTCAGGCTGAGGTGTCATGTAGGTGTTACAGTTAAGTGCCACCTGATGAGGAAGGGCTGTACACTWAATGTTTMTGTGTGTGTGCGTGCCATRGTTTGTACAGAGGTTAGCAAGGAATTACATAAACAACTGTTTGGATTTCAATGAAACTCTCAAAAAGTTATCATTAGATGCATCGACAGCCGATTCATTTTTGGAGTCACCCCAGTTCACTATAACTCAGTTAATTATGCACATATTGAGCTAATGTTTGATWTAGTAGTAGCTGAGGGTCATCCTCAGTATGTACTCCGAACAGCAGCACTGAGCTCGCAATAYRYRGTGAGATTATGCATAAGGTRATTTGCAAAATTTGAACAAAACTCCATTCCTGCTCATTGTAAGATCTATATATGTATATGTGTGTGTGTGTGTGTGTGTGTGTGTGTGTGTGTGTGTGTGTGTGTGTGTTTCAGGGTGATCTGCCTGTGTGCCCAGTTTGAGGCGGTGCTGCAGCACGGCCTGAGGAAGAGCAAGGGTCTGGCCCTCACCGCTGCTGCTCTCAAGCAGGCTGCAGGCTTCAGCAGCAAGGCAGAAGCAGGTAACAGGCGTGTTTTCTGTCGGCAGTTTTTTCATTCACCGGTTAGAAATCACAGGCACCTCTACGGTTAGGCTGTGATCGTTTTGTTGGAATAATTTGAGCTCAGTATGCTAGATTGGTTTGTTATCATGAAAGGACGCAGACATGTCAGCGGACAGCTGCACACACAGCGTGTCTGTGAAACCAGAGACTCAGAAAACAGAATACAGTCGTCGTCTCTGTTTCACTGGCAKTGCTAAGTTTGTGCCATGTTTTCAGCTGATGAGATGACTTGGCAGAAATGCTTTTCCTTTCGCTGGAGCTCGTTGAACAGGACTCATCTGCCTTTCRCTTTGTTGTTATTTTATTTAATTTTTATTTATTTTTTTTTTAGAATAAAACCAAACTGTTGTCAACTCTGGGTAAACATGAGTCTCTTCCCTGATCCGACTGCCTCCGCTGACACCTTTTAGTTGWTTGTTGTGTTTGTTTCCAGACACAGGATGAGCTATATGTTGGGCAGCTGCTGCTTTTATTTTAAACTCGTGTGTCCTATTAGACATGAAAATTGGGTATTTTGCTAACTCGTTATAACACTTATTTTCTACTGAGATTAGATTAGAGATGCACAAATTAATGTTTTTTTGCAAATTCCGTTGCTGGAATATTTTTGTAAAGCTCTGATGCTTTGATAGTATGAGGCTTTCAAGTTTTGTTGTATTAAAACCGTACAGATTTTTTTTGTAACTTCAGCCTTTTGTTGCCACTTTTTTGCTTGTTGCTTCAATCAGTTTTAAAATTTCCCAATTTTTCCTAAAAACAGTATAAATATTTAGGTTGAACATATGATATGTTGACAGTGTATTGTGGTGGGTAACATAAAGGTTTAAGAGATTTGCAGCTCATTATGTTTTGTTTTTATTTTTTCTTTTAATTGCTGTTGAAGATGGAGACTAAAAATTATGAGACAATGTCCAAATTTTCTGTCCCATTCTCACAGAATTCAAAGTATTTGTGTTTAAGTAACCAGTAACCTTATTTTAATACATCTGACTTCCCTCACAGTTGTTTTTCTGTCGAGGTACACGTGTAGTAAGGTAATTTATTCAGTAATAATTGCATCATATAAGTACCATGCTGCTGGTTGAGAGACATTAGCATCAAGTTATAGTGAACTTTTTCCGCCGTGCCGTACTTAAGACGGCTGTTAATTCCAACCGAAGGAGGAATGCGTGACTTCTACTCATTAGCATATGTTACGTTCTCATGRGTTTCACAGTAAATTAGAAGACGGGATTGTGGGCTGAACTCATGGATTTAGAGCTCCCTAATGAAGCCGAGTCCTCTGACAAAGCTCAAAATAACCGTCACAATTTTAACACTCTGCTTTGAGGTCATACTGGAATTGTATTTAAACGAGCCGCACAACGCTCCTTCCTATTAATTACCATCCTGCAAAAACTTCTTTTAAAGCAGACCTGGATGTTTTTTTTTTAATCCTTGTTTTATAGCAAATAATAGAATTTACAAGTTGTCAGGTTGGAGATAAATATGGAGACGTGACAGGAGGTGGAGGTGCTTGTTAATGAGAAAGTAGAGACTTTTTAAAGTGAGAAAGTTGCTGTTTTTTATAAACAAGATGGCTGCTAATATTCTCTGCACTGGTCCTGTCCACCCCCACCCCCCCCCACCATCTCTTTCACATTCGCTCCCCCCTCCCCCTCATGTCAGAGCTGACTTTTTGGTTCTACGTGAAGGAGCACCTGAACCGCCACGAGCTGCAGCGTTTCTATTCCCTGCGACACATCTCCTCGGAGCTGGGCCGGGGTCGGGCCTGGCTGCGCTGCGCCCTCAACGAGCACTCGCTGGAGCGCTACCTGCACACGCTGCTGGCAGACCGGCCACGTCTGGGGTCAGTGCAGCCGAGTGCGGCTCGTTCAGTCTTTGCTGTCAGACCTTACAGTTAATTGACCTTCACGTGTTGCTGCCATCTTTAAAAAATTGCCAGTCTCAAAAATTTCTATTTATATTATAAACTGTCAGTTTGGTCTCATGAAGTTACTTACATTTAATTCTGTGGCATTGAGTTATATGAAACAGAAGTTGAGTTTTGACTATCACACCTTGTGATCTACTATAGCAGCGGTGGAGCTAACCAGACCGGGCAAGAGRCTGCATTTAGCTTTACTGTACATATTGGCAAAAATAGTGAACATTAAGGACTGATTATGTGGCACTGATAAAACTATTATTGATTTATATTCATAAATTAGGGTGTATACAATATAAGCTTTATAATGTATATAAAACGTCAGAAACTGTGTTARYGATTTACCAACAGATGAGYAACAGGAAAACGTCTCATCTCACAAGTAAACAGATTTAATCTTATTTACCTCAATGTGGATGTCATCTGACCAGAACTGAAGATAATAATGTAAAATAAGATCATAAAGCTGATGTACAGGGGTTACACAATGAAACTGAAACGCTTTTCATTTTATTGTGGGAGGTTTCATGGCTAAATTGGACCAGCCTGGTGGCTAATCTTCATTGACTGCACATTGCACCAGTAAAAGCTGAGTGTGAAGGTTCAATTAGCAGGGTAAGAGCACAGTTTTGCTCAAAATATTGCAATGCACATACCATTATGGGTGACATACCAGAGTTCAAAAGAGGACAAATTGGGTGGGTCTTGCTGGCGCATCTGTGAGCAAGACAGCAAGTCTTTGTGATGTATCAAGAGCCACAGTATTCAGGCTAATGTCAGCATACCACCAAGAAGGACCAACCACATCCAACAGGATTAACTGTGGACGTAAGAGGAAGCTGTCTGAAATGGATGTTATGGTCTAAAACCAGGTGTTTCACTTTCATTGTCTAACCCCTGTAATTACGACACTGACACTTTTCTTTACTTTAACTTTTATTTAAAAAAATTGTAACAGAGCATTTCACACATCCATACTGAAAGAACAATAGGTACAAAACTGAGCATACTACCAAAAGCCTTTTAACATAGTATCCATCTCAGCACATGATTTTACAGTTTCGTGAGGTTTTACAGCATCATCATACAACCAGAGAAGAAGGTTTCACTTTGAATAGAGAGTCAAGAGGCAGTAGACCACCATCAGATTTTCTTGTTGGATCTTTACAAGTAAATATTCTGCTGGACCCCACCTTATACTGAAAGTAGGCTTTTGAAGTCTAAGTAAACATGTTATCTTTTCCATGCGGTATAGTTCCCTTACCTTCTGGACCCAGTTTTTATAAGAGGGTMGCTCCAACTGCATCTACTTAATTGTAATGCATTTCAAAGCAGCTGTAAAACGTACATTTAAAAGATATGTTCTGGCGATACTGACACTTTTAATAATTAAACTGGCTAGTAGATGTTAGCTTCTGTTAGCATAGAGAGTAGCGCTCTCCTTAAACATGCTACAATTTAGCACAAATTATTAATTTACAAGCTGGTTTGCCTGTAACTTATGTAAWATTTACACAGTGTAAAATAATATWACGTATCTGGSTATTTTTAGGTTTCTGTTAGAGGAACTTGACCTGTTGAGAAGATGATTATTTAATATCAGTAGACAAATTTCATCCTAAAGTATCACCGGGTATGTAGTGAATGTTTTCTAAGTATCGACCGGTAAATATTTATTATTATTTTTTATGACCGTTAAAAATAATAAATATACTTTATTACTAGTTGAAGTATAATTATTCAACTAGCTAAAATGTCTGTTATTTACTGACTTTATGTCTGGTTTGATCATTGTTACTTATAAGTATTATATTTTTCTCATACAGTATATCATCAAGATGTTATACATGATTGTTGAGTTATATTAAAATAATTAACAATTATGTTAATTTATTGTAAAAGATTACAGATAATTTGTGACACAGATCAAGTTGGCTTTGCTGTTAATCTAATAGTTGCTATGACGGCTGTGAGCTGTCGCCCTATTTGGACGCCATCTTTGCTTCTCCCTGTTGTCACAGGTACTAACAGTGGAAGGGATAGGCGGGGCTCAGTCTAGTGGTATTTATCTCTATGTTGTGTGGTTATTTCTTAGCTCCAATAGCAGTGGCATTAACAATAACTTTCAGGTTGCATCCAGCTGGAATTTCATCCTATTTTTGCTGAAATAACCATGAAAATTAAAATCGACAGTTAGGGTTTAAATGACAGCAGTTAAATAAATTCCAAAGAAATAGAAAAAAGTTAAGATTGAGTTCTTAAATGTATGATTGTATTCATTTAACTAACTTAATGTCTTACTCCAATTATTCTCTAATTCTCTAATATCTGAAAGGACATTTGTCTTACAATGATCATAAGACCTTGTTTAAACTGACGTCAGCATTATTATAGGAGCTACATGACACACAAGTAACGTATTAGTTGTTTATAATAAAACCCCACTTCAAAATGATTGAACTATACCTTTAAATTTAAAAATCCACTTCACAAATCTTAGATCTTATAGGTGTGAATCCCCAGGATGTGCTCTGAGTTTATTATTATTTTTTGTCCAGAACTTTCTATGAAGACTGGGCTTTTGTTCTGGATGAAGAGCGGGCGAGTATGCTCCCCACCATGGCTGCAGGTGAGTTTATTTTGGGTTGGGCCTGGAATCTTTATTTGGGGTCTTACCTTGAGTTTGCATGGATTTTTTTCCAGGTGCTCCGGTTTCCTCCCAAAAACATACATGTTTGGGCTGCTTTGAGGCCAAGGCCTCATTTGAAAGAAATCTGTGATCGTAATGAGTTTTGGCTGGTTAAAGAAGGTTTTTTTGACCCTCATCACCGAGGCGGGGGTCTTGGGAACGCTCTCCATCCGTCTGTCCATTACAATTTCAGAAAGGTGTAACTTTCACATAGAAAGGCTAAAATATGCCAAGCTTGGTATGAGTCATCCATGTTACATGCCTGACCATACCATGTGGTCATATGACATCAATAAAGCCCCGCCCKCTGACAACAGGAAGTGACCTGTWTTTGGCTTGGAAAGCTCCATCTCTGACCCTCTTGACTTAATCAGCAACAACTTGTGCCAGAACACAGATAATAAATTGATCTCACTTGCTTTCAAGCCCAAAGACTTTTTGGTGAAAGGCGTGGTCATGGCGGTGCGATGAAGTCGGACATCACACCGTTGACATACGCTTGGCTCTAAATTCCACTTATTTCAGTCAGTTTGCACTCAATTTGCTATGGTTGATCCTAATCTGCTCCATTACAGGAATGAAGTCCGATTTTGAGTGGGTGTGGCCTAATTTCTCCACAGCACCCCCTACAATTATTAAAAATTTTTTACCTGCCCTGTTTGGCAGGTGACGAAAAATGTTACCTGCCCAACATGAAAGGTTACCTGCCCAACATGAAAGGTTACCTGCCCAAAACAAAAATGTTCAAAATTTGATAAAATATATAAGAAAAATGTGTACTGTTTTTGTACTACAAAACTTTTAACATGGTTATACAGAGGTATATAATATATGACATCTGATTTAACAGATGCAAACATTGCAGACTGAGTCACTAACAGTCAGTTAATTGTTTTATCGAAAACATCTTCAAAAACCTTTTTAGACCATTCCAGTGCTTCTCTAGAGGACTGGCCTTGGGGGCGGGGCTTATGAAAACAGAATGATCAGCAGCAGCAGCTTTGTTTTAAACATAATTTACAGAACATGAAAAAGTCTGAAATTTGCATTAATTGAATCTTATATAGTGAATCTCATTTCTAAAGATACAGTTAAGATATCTTGAACTGGAGTCTCCATACAACTTAATGATAAATCTGATGTTATTTATACTAGTCAGAATATAATTAAAGATATCTTAAATAGGTACAGTATTTTGCTTTGTCAAAATATATTAAGAGATGTCTATTTATTTATTTGTTTCATTCATTCACAAAAACAAAACAATCTATGTACAACTTAAAAAAAAAATAAGTAAATCGTACCCTAATTTGCAGAGTGAAGAAAAAAACTCTTCTTTGTGTGCCTTATTTTCAAAAATCAACTTCAACAAACAAACAAGCTCAAGCTGGAAAGTATATTAAGAGATGTCTATTTATTTATTTGTTTCATTCATTCACAAAAACAAAACAATCTATGTACAACTTAAAAAAAAAATAAGTAAATCGTAC